AGGAACATATACTCATCATCTGCATAGGAACATATACTCATCATCTGTATAGGAACATATACTCATCATCTGCATAGGAACATATACACATCATCTGCCTGTGGGTTTTCTAAAAACAAAGGTCTATCTAAACAATATGCATGCGTGCATGAGTTGATCAAAATATATTGTTTAGTGAGTCCTGTGAAAAGACGGTAATGGCCTTAAAGCGTAAGGCTGGTCTCATTCTTCATTTTCTTGCAGCTGCAATCCCATAAAAATACAAAATGTTTTTGACTGTTAAACTTCCTGTAACTTTCACATTTTTTGTTTCATGGAGATGTTAAAAACTGTTTACACAAACGCATAGTCTTATTTTCAACTCAATAGATTTATCTGTAAAGGAATAAGTTTAAAAAATATAATTATTAGTTATTTGTTGTGTTTTTTAGGATTTTTCAACAATTGTATTTTCTACAAATTCCAACAAGATATCAAAACCAGCTGCCTTTTGAAGAATCTCTTAATTCTGACTTTCCTGAGATATCATGGCTTCCATTCTGAAATAATTATGAATAAATGAACATCAATTTTCAGATATTAAAACATAATTCCATGTACTTTTAGCATGTATAACTCAAACAGATGAAAATAGCACATTTATTTATGTTTGTTGTAGCAGAATATTCTCCATGTGATAAAGTGAGTTGCATTTGTTGTAAGGCATACCTACAGATTTTAATCACAGGCTTTTTGTTAATAGTATGACAACATGCTATGTAAAGTGTAACAAACAATGATGAGCATAAACAAACAACATCAATATTGTAAGTTAGCCTCATCTCAGTTAATGCTCTTAATGCCTGCTGCCCTTGAGTATGACCTAATGCTGAGGTTTCAGGGGTTATTTTGACCCAAGGACAGTAGAAGGGATACGGTGAGGGTTTATGATGCCTGCTTTCAGGCTCTGTGTGAACAGCCAGGTCAAAAGAGCAGAGTTGGCATTCTTATTTTGTTGCTTCAGATGTGCAGTTCTCTGCAATTTGCTTTTCAAACGGTAGGCATCGCTGTTGAAACAAGTGGTACGCCAGTGTCTCCCGGCACTGAGGGATTTGAACAGTGAATGCAAGTCAACCTTGATGTTTTTGGTGAATGGTATTCAGTGGCGGAGCCAGCGGGTGGACAATGGTAGCCTTGGCCATCATAGATTAAGCTTCGGCCACCCCACATATTTGAGGAAACTATCATTTTAAGCAGTATAACAACTAGAATGCATTGTTTTCTCAAATAATTGTGGTGATCAATTTACATACGTAAATATATTCAATTCAGTTTATCAGAAACATTCATCTATAAAATAATAATTGAACAGAAACATTCATGTATAAAATAATAACTGAACATTATTTATCTGAGGAGCAGCTTTGAGTTTAACTCCATCACTGAACTCTCATCTTGAACAAGCATGAAGGCGACAGTGGAAAGAAAAACTCCCTCATGAGGAAGAAACCTTTAGCAGAACCAGGATCAGGACAAGAGGACCATCTGCTTCGACCAGCTGGGTTTGGTAGGAACAGATACACAATGGCAGGTCCAGAATCACATGTTGAGATAGAAATAGTATCAAATGAAAATTATTCAATTTTAACAATTCATTTAAGGACATGAGGTCAATTTGTCCTCTAGTAGTCTAAGTCTATAGCAACATAACAAGCTGACCCTAACTATAGGATTTATAATAAAGGAAAGTCTTAATCCCAGTCTTCAAACTGGACAATGTGTCAGCCTCATGGACAGAAACTGGAAGTTGGTTCCACAAGAGAGGAGCCTGAGAACTGGAAGATCTTCCTCCCATTCTGATTTTGGAAACTCTAGGAACCACAAGTAACCTGCAGTCTGAGAACAAAGTGCTCTGTTAGTAAAATATGGAACAATAAGATTTGTAATATAAGATGGAGCTAGGTTGTTGAGAGCTTTGTAGGTTAGAAGTAAGATTTTGAATTCTATTCTGGATTTGACAGGGAGCCAATGGAGAGAAGCTAAAACTGGAGAGATATGATCTCTCCCAGTAACTCCAGTTCAGACTCTGGCAGCAGCATTTTGGATCAACTGAAGACGTTTTAAAGAAGTATTTGGACACCCAGATAATAAACCATTGCAATAGTCCAGTCTAGACGTGACAAATGCATGGACCAGTTTTTCTGCATCATCTTTAGATCAGATGTTTCTAATGTTAGTGATATTACGCAGGTGGAAGAAGGAGGTTCTAGTAACGTTTTTAATGTGGGGGATAAAAGACATGTCCTGATCAAAAATAACACCAAGATTTTTAACATTAGAGCTGGAGGACAGATTAATGCATCTAAGGAGGGAGAAAGACTGAAACTGATAAACAATGTTTTTGGTGCAAGATATTCAAGTGGGTTGGAGTTACACTGTGTATAAGAATAGAGAAATATTTTTAAAGTATTTTTTCATCTTCAAGGTAATGTTATCTCCCTACCAAAGAGCATGAAATAGTGATTTGTGCTTGTGTTGCCTCACAGTTAGACTATTGTCACACAACTACCGATACTTTGTATGATGTTTTAAATAAATCATATAAATCATCCAGAACACATCAGCTCATCTTTTAACAGCGTCTATCAACCATGAGAACGTAACTCTGGTCCTGCCTTCTCTCTGTTGGCTTTGTAGCCTTTTTAGATTGATTTTAAGATTTTACAGCTTGGTGTTTGTAGAGCTGCCATCTCTCAGCGAGAAGGTCCCTGGTTCAAACCCCGGTCCAGGGGCCTTTCTGGGTGGAGTTTGCATGTTCCCTCCGTGCTGCGTGGTTTTCTCCAGGTACTCCAGTTTCCTCCCACAGACCAAAAACATGCATGTTAGACTGATTGGTGACTCTAAATTGTCCCTAGGTGAGAGAGAGTGTGAATGGTTGTTTGTCTCATTTTCCACTATGTGTCCCTGTGATAGACTGGAGACCTGTCCAGGTGTCCCTGTGATGGACTGGAGACCTGTC